TGGGGGGGGGGGGGGGGGAGGGGGGGAGGGCGGAAGAGAGAAGGGGACAGCTAGTCGAGTGACTACTCGACTACCCAACTCGTTGCTTACATCCCTACTATGAGTCTGATCCAAAGTCCATTAAAATCAACGTTGTCGTTCCATTGGGCTGTGATCAGGCCCTCTGTGAGGAGGTTTGTTACCACTGGAATTCTAGTGTGCACAGAAACATTTTAAGACTTCAGTTCTGCTTCCTTCTGAACAAAATACGGAAGTCGAGTGACTACTCGACTACCCAACTCGTTGCTTACATCCCTACTATGAGTCTGATCCAAAGTCCATTAAAATCAACGTTGTCGTTCCATTGGGCTGTGATCAGGCCCTCTGTGAGGAGGTTTGTTACCACTGGAATTCTAGTGTGCACAGAAACATTTTAAGACTTCAGTTCTGCTTCCTTCTGAACAAAATACGGAACAAAATACGGCTATGTAAGCAATAAGTTATATAATTATGTATGCACTTTACTAGTCTATCTTTTACTTTCCCGTTACTCTTAGGTGAACGAAATTTACCACGATGAATCCCTTGGGGTCCACATAAATGTGGTGCTGGTGCGAATGATTATGCTGGGATATGCAAAGGTAAAAAGGCATTTGAATGCGTTCGGCATCTTAATCTTCTTAACCGCTATATTTCAGTGTCAGTTAATTTGGTGCTGGTGGGTGCTGCTGGACTGGTTACAGCGGGGACTGAGGTTCTGCCCCACACACAATAGCAAGGCAATAGCTGAGAGCTGCTTCACCCGTTTACCTCAGGCTTAGCACAAATTTGGTGAATGCCCTTCTAGAGCCTCCCTGCGCCCCAAGAATCTTCTCTGAGGCTGCATACGAGAGCACCTGTTTGTGATGCTGACACTGCTTTTCTTCTTGCCCCTTCCTGACTCATTTCTCACCAAATTCCAACAAGATGTTTGAAATTTTGGTCTCTGCCAAATTGGGAAAACATAGGCCAATGAAGGCTCTTTCCATGTTACAACAATTCGCTTTCTTTACATTCTGCTTTATACTCCATATGCGGGGCTTGATTAGGCCTACATGGTGCTGGGGCTGTTAGTCTGTATTCTCCGTACGATGTGGGTGGCAGTTGTGACTGAGTGGATACGCACCCAGGAGAGAACAGTCTTCACAGGAGCTCAGCAGCATGGGAGATTCTCCTAATCCATGTGTTCTATGCGCTTCCCTTGCTGGTACAACCCACTTTAGGGAAAGGCACAAGATTCCCCCTTGACAGAAGCCATTGCAAACCCCTCTCTGGACAGATTTTGTTCCATCAGAGCCCACGGCCTGAATGTGACGAGGTGGAGTAGGAACAGAGCCCATCCGCTGGAGACCTCTGTGAAGTAGGACCAGAGAGGCCCCCTTCTGGAGGCCAAAACCTGCCTCACTCATCCCAGGAAAGGAGCAGGGGAGCGAAGTCCTCCAGGCAACCTAGAGAGACAGGGGAAAGCATAAAGGGCTAGCCAATCAAAGAGGTTTCAGGAAGTAGCCAATTAAAACCCAGGAGGGCCATATTTAAAGGAGCTGCAGAGCTAGAGGCAGTTCCTTGCTGGAGCCAGAGGAGTGCAGAGGAGTGTTCCCGACTGAATACAGGGAACAGCAGCATTTTACAGCAGGGCTACTCAACACGCGGCCCATGGGCCGCCTGCGGCCTGTTTGCGGCCCGCAGTGCAGTTCGGGTTTACATGGGGATCAGTGCGCGGCCCACTGGTTGGATCCTTTGAATATGGCCTCCACTGGGAACATGCTCCATAATGGCGAGTCAATAGAATGGTCTTCTGTTGATACGCGTTTTAGTAGTTAAATTCCTGGACTGTCACTGCTTATTAAAAGTGCTGTCATATGGGTGGGAAATCGTGTAAATATTGCATTTTATTAACATCAGCAGACCTGACTTAAATGGGGCCTGTGTGTTGTATAGTCTTGCCTTCATCTTTGTATTCATGCCCATCAGTGTGAAAGAAACTATTTGCATATATATTTGTATGTATGTGCAACCACACTTAAGTTGTGTCCCTCGGCATGTGCTGTGAGTATCACTGTGGCCCCCAGGGCTTCCAAAGTTGAGTAGCCCTGCTTTACAGGGACGTGGCGGCACATGGCCACTATTCTTAGGGTCCCTTGGCTGGGACTCTAGAGTAGTGTGCAGGCCCGAGTCCCCTGGGGAAGTGGCCTATAATCAGAGCAATAAAACCTCCAGAGAGAGAACTGAACTGCTAAGAGGCCCAGCTGCAGACCTGCAGCCAGAACCGTTCAAGAGAGCAAAACTGCTGCCTTCAAGGAGGAAGCCCTGGGGAGATGACCAAATACCAGGCTGGGATTGTTTAAAGATTGCAGACATCCACTACACCAGAAGAGGCACTCCTGAGTTTCTGCCAGCAGAAGACCTGGAGGAACCAAGCCAAATGCTTTTGGAAGCAAACAAAATGTCAATTTTGGCATGCTGGCATATCCCTGCCATGCCGATAATTAGGAAGTTATTTCCTTTCTACATGAACAATATTAGCCCCTCCCCCCAGGATCATGCTGGGCTCCCCCATGCTCTGCCCTGGGTAATTTTAATATATTTTACATTGATTTTGTCTTAAAAAGCAATTAGAGGGTTTTGCAACCAATCCTTTTCCCATTGTTGAAAGGGAGCATCCTGGTTTCCTCCGTGTTCACCAAAGCTCACATCCTTCCATTGAATTGGGGCATTAAAGTTAAGTTGGTGAAAAGGCCATTTTGGTGTTTGATGGTTAAATATTAAAACTCTGAACATACAGAGCTGGTGTATGTAGCGTAGCAGGAGTCAGACCGGATGCAGAGGCGCTAGATCCTCATCTGGTTTGTGCTCCAATGTTTTCCCCCAGCTGAACATCTGTCCAGTATGTTTTTATCATTTCAGCCTTTCTTTGCAGATTACCCTAGACTGGGGGTGTCACTGCCCTCTGATTTATCTTAACCAAGTGGCACATTCTCTTCCCGCGGCTTAAAATGTAAGCAGCTCCCAGCTGTGTCATTGAAACTGTCCTGCTTAAGTAGCTGTGTCATTTGTTATGTGTTTGCCCTCACCATCGCACGTTTTATAGGAATGACCATTATTGTAATTGAGACTATAAACACTTATGGTGTTTCCTGAAAAGCCCCTTACGTGCAAGCCAACAAACAGGCCTGATTGCCTGCAAGCCAACAAGGGATGCTAATAGCTGGGAGGGAACACCTTGTTAATGATTCTTTCTGGCTGTCCTGGTTCCCCACGACCTAGCCATTTTTGTGTAATTGTTAACACTTGGGCTGAGTCCTTGTAAAGTGGCATTGTTCTGATGGGATGGCTTTCTGCACCCCCTTTATTCTGGGGTAAATGACTGCACATGAGTGCAGACAATGGTGAATCAAACCCATGGGGAATATTGGGCATGAGCTGGGGAACAACTTAATGAGGTCAAAGGCTGGCATGAGTGTGGAGGAGTGAAAAGGGTGATTGCTCATCGCTGAGAGAGGAACTTCCTGAGTGCTTGTCCAAGCACAGCCAGGCTGTGAATTTGCTGTACCCACATTTGCCACATACTAGTTCAGTGGCTGGACCCTGCTGCAGTGCACTAGAAGCACCCAGGTGTGTTCCATACACTACAGAACCTTTAGTGCACGATAGCAGGGTGCAAATGGTGAGTTAGTGCATAACATGCTAATGCACTGTAGAGTCACAACCTGACTTGATGTTCACTAACTCACCTTGAAGACAAACCTTATGTAAAAATAATTGCTTAAAATGCCCTGAGATCAAGTCATGGGAACACACAACTAAGCTCTTGATAGTAATTTATTGCTCTCTTCTAGTCCATCAGCTTGATTGAAAGGGGAAACCCGTCAAGAAGCCTGGAGAATGTTTGCCGCTGGGCGTACCAGCAACAGAAGTCGGATCCCAACCATTCTGAGCACCACGATCACGCCATTTTTTTAACCAGGCAAGATTTTGGGCCTGCTGGTATGCAAGGTACAGCAACCAATCTGCAGCAGAATAATTTGTGTTTTTAATAATGCCTGAAAGAAAAGGTAAAGATTGGAGAATTGTACAAATCAAGGTAAAATTGTACAAATCATAGCTTATGATTCAGCAAAGCACTTAAGCAAGTGTTCTACTTTAGCACGTGCCTAAATCAATCCCTGCTCAGAAAAGGTTTTTCCTAAGTGTGAGCATACACTGTTGTGGAGCCAGCCAGTTAGTCATCTAGGGTGTGTCTAGACTATAGGGTTTTGTCGACAAAAGTGGACTTTTGTCGACAAAACTATACCTACACTGTCGCTGAGTTCTGTCAACATAACATTGCCAGAACTCAGCAGTTTTGTCAACAGTGGTAAACCTCAATCTACAAGGAATAACGCCTTTTGTCGACAGAATTCTGTCGACAGAAGGAGTTATTGCATCTACACTGTCATGTCGACAGAGCAGCTTGCTTTGTCGACAGAACTGGATGTTGTCTAGACGCTCTTTGTCAACAGAAGTTTTTGTAGTCTAGACGTACCCCTAGTCTCCAAGAATGCCAAAGCCAGATTCTTCAGATGAAGCTGTAAGCCCCTCAAACTGCCGGTGTACGCTACTGTGCCCTAGTAGGAATTTATTTCCTGACTTCATCTGTTAGTCTTCTGACAAATGAGGAACGATAGCCCCTTGTCATTTTATCCAAACTGGGTCACAGTAAAAGTACTTTCCAATGAGTTTCTAGTAACTATCAATCCACTTGCTTGATGTGAAACGAGAGTAAATCTTAACTCACTTTGTGGTTAGCTTTGATATTTGTTGTCAGATCATTTGCTGGGAAAGCCTTTTTTATAGACTACGCGTCAATGAGTTAATGCCTGTGCTGGGTTTCATTATTAGTCTAGGAGCTAACAGCCAGGATAATTGGCAGTAAAATGGCAGTATAGGATTTAATCCACGGGACTGCCAGCAACTACAAGTCCTGATGAGAAGGCCTGAAAATGTGCCACTCTGTATAATTGTGATGCATTTCTCTCTCCTTCCCTCAGTCCACATGCATTTATAACTCAGAATGTTTTCTAGAACTTTCTATCCTGCCCAAGCAATGTTGTGTTTGTAGTCAACACTAGAGCTGGGTGAAGAATATGTAGCAGGATAATGATTTCAGGGCCAGAATATGACTGGCCCTGGGCAAGCTGCATGGGGCAAGCAAGAAGTTCCTTGTCCCCAATGCATGCTACTCAAGGACCATTCGCAGTAGCCGTTCCTGTGCTCAGGAGCAGCGGCGGATATAGGGCAGGGTGAGCGGGGTGGCTGCCCCAGGTCCCGTGCTTCAATAGGCCCTGTGCACGCGCTACTATCTGTTGGCTGTGGCCGTGGCGCATGCGCGAAATTGTGCTGCCCCGGACCCTGCGCTTCAATAGGCCCTCCGCCCTGGGCCCCACAAAACTTTCATCCGCCCCTCCTCAGGGGCACACGTGTTCTGCTTGTTCCTGATTTCCACTCAGGTGCCAAATGCTTTAAAAAAAAATTAAAAAGGGTGTGGAGAAGGCAGGGGCATATTCGGTGTGTAACACTGGCTTTTGTGGAGTAGCACACCAGCAAAGGAGAAAAGCAATCAGCTGCATGCCACGGGTACAGTCTTTCTGGTGCTTTTCGTGGGATGGGGCATTTCCTCACAACAGTCTGTGCAGGCATGTTGCTTAGAAGCCACAAAGTAGCTGACAGCGAACTTTTTCCTTTCAAAAAATTGTCTGCTGACAGATTTCGAAATTCTCAAGCAGGCTGCCTGTTAGGTCTATTTCGTTATTTTTTTCTCAGTGAATAAAGACAGGCAATTCCATATCATGGAGGGTTTTGCTGTTTCAGGATTTGGCTTCCTGCAGATTTGGAATGAAACTCTCACTTTTTGAAATGCTCCACAAAAGGGAAGGGAGACTTGGCTCTGAGTCGGGCTGCCCTGATGCTTCCGGGCTCCTGTCTCCCCAAAGAACCAGGAGCCTAGGTGGGGCTGCAGAGGAGCCAGGCAGACAAGCTGGCTAGAAATCAGGCACTTTCAGGCAGGGCAGCCTCAGATCCATACTTGGGTTTGGCGCAATTTTATCGACACGGAGCTGTCTCCACAGAATGTTTCCCTCTTGCCAGTTTGGCGTTGTCTGACAGAAGAATGTTCCATTGTAGAATCCCCAACAAGCTACGATTCTTGCTTCGCAGACTGTGTGACTGGTAATATTGTGCATTTTGCAACCAGATAACACCGTTTGCAGTGCTTCAGTGAGCGACTGCTGCTGGGGCTGTTTCTGTTCCCCAGTTATTTGACTCACATAACTGACTGAGCAAGTTTTCAGTGGTGTATTGTATTGTAAATAACAGGAATTTTACAGTTAAATACCCAATCGGACATGTGATCCATGTTCTTAGGCCTTCTATATGTGAGAAATTGGCATTGGTTTAACTTAAATTGGGTTTTAAACTCATTTAGTTAAACTAGTGCAAACCCCTGTAAAGTCTCAGGGGGGTGATGATAACGAACTACACTTAAATAGAAATACAATTATGCATGGGGGGAGGGAGGGTTGTATCAGTTCAACTAAATCTGTTAAACTGAGGAATGATTTTAAACAGTGCATGTTTCTCTTATAGACAAGGTTTTAGTTCCATTTGATAACTAGTGATGACAACTTCATAAACAACGAGAAGTCTTCATGACAACTTCATGTGATTTAAGTGACTGACAGCTGTGGTGTCAATTGTACATTCCTTTGTAAAAGTCACATCATCGGCTAACACAAACCCCAGAGAGTTGAAATACATTTCCAGTACCAAAAGTTGCTCATGGAAAAATGCACCAAGTTTTGGATGCCCAACTTGAGACACTTGGGGCTTTATTTTCAAAGGGGTTGCACATCTGCCCTTCTCCTTAGTTGGGGTTGGGTGCCCACCAGTTCTCCCATCTGCGACTAAAAGCATCTCAGCTCAGACTCCACAAACTGGGAGACTCCAAACTACTGTAATAGGTGCTTTTGAAAAAATTGGCCTAAGTATGGACACCTGCCCTAATAGATGAAGGTGGGGATTTTCTTCCTTGAAGAAGTCTTCAGATGTTGCTGACAAACTCAGACAATAGAAAAAGGGATCTAGATTAAAAATGAAAAACTAATACCAGCATGACAAAAAAAAAAAAGCTATCGCTGAACGCTTTTCCTCCAAGAGAGACTAGAACATCATTTCATTAATTTTGGTGGTAAAACTTGATCTAAACAATGTAGATCGCTAGTAAACCAGAAGTAGCTTTTATGTTTGTCACAACCCTTTAATCTACGTAGTAGCCATTTTAATGAGGAAAAAGCCTCTTTGAAGTGAATAGAGAAATTGGGCATGAAAACAATAACTGTGAAGGAATCCAAGACCCATTGCATTCCAAAAAAAGTTTGTCAACCTCCTTTCCCACTCAGGGAGAGACGGATATTTGTAGACTTTCCTTGTAGCAGGGAAGCATATAGCTAACTACTCCTTCACAATGGGTTTTTATAGTCAAAACCAGTAAATCTTATGGGATACCTAATAAAAAAATTGACAAGAAATAAACCCAAACTGTTTTGCTGTCAACAGGATATGCTCCCGTCACTGGCATGTGTCACCCTGTAAGAAGCTGCACTCTCAACCACGAGGATGGGTTTTCTTCAGCTTTTGTAGTTGCCCATGAAACTGGTCATGTGTAAGTCTTACTACTACAACCCGAGCAACAGAAAGCTTAGGGTTCAGTCTACTGCTTGCACAGAACACTTTTATTTTCACAAGAGGCTATCGGTATTGCAAATCTCTTTATATTTCTTACTCCTTTGGCATTCACAGGAGTTTGAATCAATGAAAAAGTAGCTACTGGGGGAAAATGTGATCTTGCAAAATTCATGTGGATTTTTATAGCTAAGTCAGAAATGGAAGACATGCTGATTTGATGCATTGCATTCAACAGTGAGAGTAGTTTGTCAAGCTACATGGTCCTCTACCTGTTGTTTCACTTAAAGTGTGTGTGTGTGTGTGTGTGTGTGTGTGTGTGTGTGTGTGTGTGTGTGTGTGTGTGTGTGTCAGAGGTGGCATCTTTCAAAAAATGGAGAACTAAGTCTGGAACATCTCATTCAGCAAAGTATCTCCTCAATTAATACTACTGAGGATCTGATTTTTTTAAATTAGTAGCCCGTGTTCCTCACTTACATGATAAATGAGTGTCTGAGGAAGTGGGTCTGGCCCACGAAAGCTCATCATCTAATAAACCATCTTGTTAGTCTTTAAAGTGCTACATTGTCCTGCATTTTGTGCAAAAGTGGACACACTCCCTTGTGAAAAGGGGGGGGTCTCTATTTGTGTTAAAGTAAGAGTTATCTCTTTGCCTCTTTGTTTTTATAACAGTATAAACCATAATCATCCAAAAGGAAGGGTTTGTCAACACATAGATTTATTCAGGATTAGCTATTCCATTGTAGATTAACTAAACTGGAACAATATACGCTTATTCCAGAATAAGTGCGTTCACACATGGGTTACTGAGGAATATTTATTTTGCTTTAAATTCACAGCCTTCTGAATTAACTTCCAAGTGTAGATAACAGGATTGTATCTACACTTGGGTTTCTGTTTATTTAATTAAAAAATAAAATCAATGAGGAGACACGTTAAAGAAACACTTTCAGGAACTCTTTAATTTCTATCCATGGGTATTTTGTCATTGATAGACTCATTTAATGGTATTTGTAGGATGTAAACACAAAATCCCTTTTTAACAAAACCGCATGCAAAATGTGAATTGTCTACCTTCTCCCTTTTTTTGTAAGAATAGCCCAGATTTCGTTGCATCTAACAGCCGCTCTTTGTTTCAGGTTGGGAATGGAGCATGATGGACAAGGAAACAGATGCGGGGATGAGACTGCTATGGGGAGTGTTATGGCTCCTTTGGTGCAGGCTGCATTTCATCGCTACCATTGGTCCCGGTGCAGTGGCCAAGAACTCAAAAGATACATCCAGTAAGGACCTGTCGGTGCCTAAGTGTAGTTTCACATGAAATAACACTTTGTGGTGTCCACTCATGTGGTTCCTTCCACTGCACTTGGCAGAGGAGAGAAAGGGGGAAATCCATCTTGACTTTTTTTTTTTTTTTTTTTTTTTTTTAAAGTGACCAGTCAAGTGCAATGGTTCTTCACACATGGTCCGATCCCTAACCTAACCACTGAAATCAGTAGGGGTACGTCTAAACTACATGGCTCCATCAACGGAGCCATGTAGATTTGTTTGTTCGGCAAAGGGAAATGAAGCTGCGATTTAAATAATCACGGCTTCATTTAAATTTAAATGGCTGCCCCGCTCTGCTGATCAGCTGTTTGTCGGCAGATCAGGGCAGTCTGGACGCTCCCCTGCCGACAGGAAAGCCCTTTATCGACCTCCCCGGTAAACCTCATCCTGCGAGGCATAACGGGGAGGTCAATAAAGTGCTTTCAGGTCGGCGCGGGAGCATCCAGACTAGCACACTGAGCCAACAAACAGCTGATCAGCTGTTTGTCGGCTCAGCGCGGCAGCCATTTAAATTTTAATGAAGCCGCAATTATTTAAATCGCAGTTTCATTTCCCTTTGCTGATCAGCCTAATCTACATGGCTCCATCGATGGAGCCATGTAGTTTAGACACACCCTAGGAGTCTTTCCTGTCACTGGAGCGGAGCTTGGATCAGGACTTAGAAGACTCTTAATAAAAACTCCCTTTGACTCAGTGAGAGTTTGTATATTTGGAATGATGGCAAGAGGAAGCCCTTCAGGTATTAAAGGGGAATTATAAAATGTCTGTAAAAAGAAGAAAATCTTTACATTTGTGTGTCTGTGTGCGCATGCGTGCATGCACGAACACATATATTAGAGAGTTTCTGTGTCTGTCTGAGTCCGTCTGTTCAAGAATTCTTCCTGAATGATAAGAGCTAGGACCACCAAATTTGGTAGGCAGCTTCCTCTTATCCTAACTTAAAGCAAGGTCATGGTTTGGTTGTGCCGGGAATAGGATTGTTTTCCATAAGACGGAAAGGGAGGGGTCTGAGAGTAAGGGCAGAGGGCAATGGAGCAAGTGCACACTTACCCAGTGCACTCCGCTTCCTTGTGGCTCCTGCTGCCATGCCATGCTAGGTACAAAACCACATACATGGGGTAACAGACAACCCCAACCCCGGCCCACAGTTTGAGACGCCTAATGTACAGTATCTCCACAAAGCTCATAACTTGTCAAGAGTCATAATCATTATGAGTTGTAGGGACGGGAAATATGTATACATTCAGAACAATGTATTTACACTCAGGCTATATCTAGACTGCAAGTCTCTTTTGAAAGAGGCTTTTTCGAAAGATACTTTCGGAAAAACC